TTTCGCTAGTTTCAGATATACTGAACTGGGTATTAGGTGAAGTAAATGCCAGACGCATCAAATGCCAGGCGCAAACATGATGATCATGACATGGAAGTCATGTACGGCACATTTTACGTCCACCTCGAAACGTTGTGGTAATTGTTACATGTCGACCTTCCTCACTGTGTTTCGCACATGACTGATTTCCACTGTACGTGGGATCTGCCAATTGTTTTTTTACTCACCGTTGTTTATGCTGACACCGCGATTACCACTCGCACTTGCGGTCGTGGTGCAGCGCGCAGACTCAATTTCGTGGCAATGACTGGCATAAAATTGCTGCTCACCAACTGTTGTCTATCTTGTTGCAAGAATTCTAGGTGACCGCTCATTACTTCGTCATTTATTGCACGTTCCTGTAGACAAATCTACAAGTAATCACAGTGAGGCGTTTTGACAAACACAAAAAGTACTGCTGGTTGCATGCCAGCGCACATATTGTTCTTCTTTTCTCTGGACAGTCGAAGCGCTTGACTGGATTTCAGCGGCGATACAGAGAAGATGGTTATAGAGTTTGTTTTGCCGGTGCAGCTCGAAGCGTGCCTAGACATGAGCCCATAATCGCCATAAGAGGTATTTTGCGTATACTTCTTTAGTAACTTCATTAAATAACTGTACTGTTTCTGGGCCACTCTGGCTGTCATTTACAAAAGTAAACCGCAAATTCGACAGTAATACAACCACTAGATATCGTATTAACATGTTTTTTGATTTGCTTCTCGAATTTCCAGTCTTGTATATCAACGCACGACTTCTCAAACACGGTTCTAAGCAACGGAAAAAGAAGTCCTCTTTAGGTAGTAACTCAACACACCAGTTGACAAAACACTTTCTTTACTATTCAACTTTCATACTGAATTGCACAAGATAAATCCCCCCGTATTAAATAACTTGTATATTCACGACAAGGATTTCGCTACGCCCTTTTATTGTACAGCCGTCAGCACCTTTAACTTGAACACTTCGGTGCGTGGTCAGGGCTAGTTTGAATGACGCCAGCCGCTAAGTGCTGGCCGCTTTCGCCGAAATATTTCGGTAGGCTTGGATAGTATGTCGTCATGAATGGTTAGCAGCTCGGCAACAGAACCCAAACATACGTGGCACTAGCGTCAATCAAACTGCTGCGGGACACGTGGCGGAGCGTTCGTGTTAAAGGTGCCGACGACTGTACAGTTAAGGGAATGTTCAGGTTTTACAAGGCCGGTGCGTAGAAGATATTAAATGTGTCATTCCGGTTACACCGCTTCGTAATGAGTGGTTTACGGCCAACAATATCACAGCTGCGTATGCGTAAGTGGCAGCAATTGCCGTGTAGGGCCAACCTAGGAGGCTAATTGTTTGGAACACACAACACTGAAATTTAATACTAAACTGAAGCGAAAACAACACAGGTGGCTACTCGAGCAGTGCTTAGACGCCTTGCACTTTACTAAACAGGGCCGTACTTGACCATATATGTTTGGTCGCCAATACAACCGTATCTGATTATTGTTTTATTGAGTTGAACACCGGGAATCCTACTTAGATTGTAACACTTGCTGATGTAGAACTTGTCACGTGCCACGAACGATGTGCCAGGAAGCAACCGGAACCAATAGCACTGCAACTTTTGATGACGAGTGTCTCATACTCAGACGGCAGTTTCCATTTTTTTCTGTACGTTTTAGTGCAACAATAAACGGTACAGTGTATTTTAGCTGAAATCACAATAGAGAGAAGAAAATCCCCAGTTCTACCTAAAACGTGCTAAAATTGTTCAACAACGCCGCTTATCCAAGCACCAGTTCCGTACACTCCACACTGTCGGCACAAGACAAAAAGGTAGAAAAGAGTGGTTTCTATAGTCAAGTCGTTCTCACACGATAAAACGGTCTATAGACTTGCCATGCCCCATGTGGCTGTATCACACGGCTGGGCAGTATGGAAGGTAAATATATCTGGTATACCATCTCAGGTATTCTTTGACTGTCTTGTATCTTTATGGCGACACGTTTTGTAAGCCTATAGTGTTTGTATCTACAATTCCGTTACATTTGATAACTTATCGTAAATATTGAGATACAAGGTACTGCTGTTGCAACGTACGCTATAGTGCGAAACAGTAATCGCTGACTGAAATCCACTACAGACTTGAACTAGTGCCTTAAGCCACCTGAACGAAACCAAGGGCAGATACATAATTTTATAGTTTTGCGTGACTCCACCACTTGGGTAATGCAATAAGGTGTGTGCGTTTCTTTTGGTCAAGCACAGTAGCACGACAGAGCTTGTGCAATATCGACAAAAACTACGTTCGCGTGCTTGCCCACATGCCTCTTGTTTTCAAGATTTCGTCTTCTTAAGTTGTGTCAGCTACTCACAAGAGCCGCGTGCCACAATGCATGCTGGTGCAGTCACTACAGCGTAACGCATGCACCGACCACTTCAGCCCCTGCATCAGCCATAACCCCGCTGCAACGTACTATCGTGAGCAATATGAGCTCGAACACGTTAACGCGTATCGAGCAACCTCGAACCCTACATCGACTGATTTGCAGCGACCACTGTGGGAAACAATGTGGAAAGGGCAGCGTGCTTACGCCAGCTGTTGACACGCCTTCCTCGATATCGTTGTTGCGAAACGCAGCTTATAGCGTGTGAGCTGCTAGTGGCAGCTGTCGGTCATATGAATTCACATCAACGCGCACAGTCACAACCAGTTGACGAAGCAGGCTATGAAGCTACCAAAACATCGGCTGTGACGTAGCCGGCCGCGATGCGCAGGCCATGCTTTCATTACTTCTAGATAGGGTTCGCTGAGCATTTTGATAGGCATTCTTGTTTTCGGTGAATTTATCATTTTCTTGTTATCATTGCTAGTGGCCGAAGGCACGCGATAAACCCCCGTTCACAAGCAACGTTCATGCGGGTATCGTGATGTGGGAGTGCGAACAGTCAGCGGAAGAGCGCACTCCTTTCCCTTCCAGTTTAGGCAGCGCCATACTAGTATCACTTTATCTGTATTTTGAGGCTTTTGCCACGCACTCGCGCGCTTGAAGTGATACTGCTCATGATAGTACGTTTTGGCGTACTCTAAAAACTCTGGGACGTTCTTCGGTATAAATGAAGTCGATGCCAAAGCGCGGATATCTGAGTGCGAAGGTACTAGTGGGATCAATCAACATGTCCCAACTCTTATGCTGGCCGACGGGCTGTTCGACCAGAAATGTACGGCGAAAGCATGTCATGAGAATCACATTGTTGAAATAAAAAACTGCGCGGCTTATCTGGGAATCCCTTGGTTTGAAAGAGAGCCACAAAGACCTGTACGTCCATGCTCAGAGATCCACACAACCGTACATCTTGTACATCAGGGGGTGTTGGGTATTTGTCATAAGGTTGACAGTGGGATGGCGGAAGTGGACAAGGTTGACCACGTGCTGAAAGAAGAGCGGACGACGCATTCAAGTTATTACTGGGCTGGAATTGTGCAGCCATTGACAAAATTATCAATGAAAGTCAGCGGTTTGAAGAGGTCCACAGCCGGCTTATCCCGAAGCTGTTCACACGGCTCTTCAACACGGCTGCTACACCCGCATGAGAAGACGTACTGACCGGCACTCTTCATCAGTGGCTGAAAGTACACAATGGTTCAGCGAACTGGGCGCGTGGGGGTAGAACACCGACACAAAGCAAAGAGGAGGCAAACAGCACGAGCACTCAACTAACAACTGGTTTATTCTCATGTTCTAAGGACATATAAATACACAAGGTTGCGCATGTCAACAGGCAAATAGATGATAGTTTGAGCAGCAAGCGTGGCGTTCATTCGAAGCACTTGTCTACGAATTAACAATATAGTTAAACTGAGTCAAGTAGTGATAATGATGGATGGCTGACACATTGATTCTCATTTCTAGAAATGTGGTATGCTTCGGAAATTTCATGCGTGGATTGAAGTGGATGCCGGAACAGTACACTTGTTTTTTCAAATAGTGGTTGACACTTGCAGGAATGGCAATGTGAAGCTAACACGGAAAAAGGACTACCTTTTAAGGAACTCAAATTCTCCCTGAGGCGTATATTGAATTGAAGGCGTAAAAAACAAGTGTACTGTCGTCTGTCCGCTATACATACATACATACATACATACATACATACATATATATATATATATATATATATATATATATATATATATATATATATATATATATATATATATATATATATATATATATATATACTTATATATATATACCAGCGCCTACTGTCCGGCAGGATGTCGCAGAACGAGCCTGCCGGCACTGATGTCATTACCACGCGCCAGCACCACCACAAGCCGCCACTCCTGTTTTTATAACCGGACACCAGCGTGAACCCCCGCTCTTTTCTGGTCTTCGTGGAGAAGACGAAGAAAAACTGGCTTGTTGATTACGACTGAGGAAAGGACGGCAATCGGTGAGACGAGGCTGCCAAACTGCAGAACGTTCCTGTTTATCTAACCGGAGTCGCAAGTACATGGTATTTCAACCACGTCATGGACGGGACGCTAGGAGTCGCAGAGTGCGGACGCACGTTGTGTAGGCTCCGCAGTTTTCAAATGATTTTTGTTAAAAAATTGCAAAACTTGGCTAAAGTCTCTACGCCAATCGACGGAGGAAGTTCAGCCGAACACCTGGATACCAACTGTTGCAAGGTGGGCCCGCTTTTTCGGCACTGACACCGATAATTCTGAGTCGCCACGAAGATCAAGCATTGCGTCTGCCGCCGCAGCGGCGGGGAGAGCTAGGTCCAACGCGTCGATGAGGACGCCTGGGGCGACCCCGGAACGCCTCGACGGCGCGTCTAGCACCACGATGGAGGTTGTAAGCGTGGAAGGAGAAGATATGCAACCGGAGGACTTTACCAACGACGCCGGATGGTGCGAAGTCCGCAGAAGAAACATCACGAAAACATCTGGAGGAATTTCAGGCCCGAAGAGAACCATGCTAAGAGACGCTGCTGCGCCGACGGGCGCGCCTGGGGACAGCAAGTGGAAAGGTGAACGAACCATACGACAAATTGCTAATGCAAGCAGACTTCCTCGTCTACCGGCAGAAGACTACAAAGTGATCGTGCGACCACGAGGAGGACTCAGCGTTTCGGAGCACAGGCAGGCACGCATATACTGCTGCCTGAGAAACGCCGCTGGCGTCGGTCGCGAAGCAGCAGAAGAAGACAGTATATGCATAAACTACAAGCAGAATATCGTGGTCGTCAGCACGCCGTCCGAAGAGCGAGCCAGGCGGTACGGAGCCATCACGAAGATCCGAGTGGGAGAGCAAGAACACGAAGCCAGCGCCTACAGAGCAGCGCCGGAAAACACATCTAAGGGACTCATAAGAGGGATATCCCAAGAGGAAAGTTCCGAAGATATTATAGACAACCTAGTGACAGCAAGAAACCCAAGCATATTACACGCGAAGAGGATGGGCAACACAGACAATGTAATCGTGCTCATCGACGGACTACACGTGCCGAGATACGTGAAATACGGAGCGCTCATCGTCCGGTGCTCGCTATACAGAAAACACATTGACATTTGCTACGAATGTGGGAGGCTGGGACACAGGGCGGACGTTTGCCCCAACCCAGACGAAAAAATATGCAGAGGATGCGGCGTGGCCAACCCGCCGCAAGAACACCAGTGTGAAGCAAGATGTCAGCTATGCGGGCAAGCTCACTTTACGGGAGACAGACGCTGCAAGGCAAAGTACAAGATACCGTATTTGGTCCGGCGAAGACGCTGGGAGCGACGAAGAAGAGAAGAAGCGGAGGCCGAAACACCATACGGCATCAACGACTACAACAAACGAGCTGGCAAAGCAACGAGCGAGAACACCCAGGGATCAGAAGGCCATCGCACAGAAGGCTCACCCCCGGGACCATACGAGGGGGACAGTCGGAAGCAGCCCGGTCGCAGACCAAGGTCGAGGACCCGGTCCAAAACCCGTTCGAGAACCCGATCGAGAACCCGATCGAGATCCAGGGCAACGTCAAGATTGCAATCCAGCCGAGGAGCGGTAGAAACTCAGGCACAGGTGAGCTTTGCAGACGCGGTCTCTGGCACTGCTGTTACACCTACACGCGCGGGGTCCGCCTTAGAACAGGAAATAACACAGATCAGACAGTTGTTAGAGCAAATAAAGCGAGAAAACGCGACGCTAAGGGAAGAGGTAAAAATGCTTAAAGTAGAAAACGCTAAGCTTAAGAACCCAAAACACTCAGAGATGACCCATACCACGCCAACACCCATTAGGGCGTCGACACCTCTTCGAGCTCCGGCGACGCCCGTTCCCGCGTCGATGAGTGGAGAAACGCCACCGCATAAACGAAGGGCAAAGGAAAACGCCGATGAGCAAAGCGACTCTACACTCGGAGAAGTAAAAAGCATGTTTCAGGAAATGTTCGTAGGTTTACAGCAGCAATTCATGCAGATGCGCGCGGACCTACAACAGCAGATAACGCAGATGCGAGATGAAATGTCTCAGAGGTTCGACACCCTCGAGGGTAGGGTAGGGCAGCTAGAAAACGTCTCGAAAGACGCCCGACCCGCAGGAGCGAGGCCGGTCAAGAGCAAGCCGTACAGCAGACCACCTGCGGCTGAGAACAGCTGCATAGAAAACTCGAGTAGCCAACATGGCGCCGCCTAATGAATACACGATTTGGCAGTGGAATTGTCGTGGGTTTCGTCGTAAGCGGGGTAACCTGCAGCAATTCGTAAAAACCAAGCAAGCACCAGATGTAATCGCCCTCCAGGAAACTGGGGGGACCGCAAAATTATCAGGATACAAATCATATAGCACTTTAGCTGAAAAAGCAACAGTAACCACACTGATACATCGTAATATAACGGCTGTAGAACACGATACTGGCGTACGCAACATAGACCACGTCCTACTAGAAATTCTCCCGTCTCGAAAAAAGGAGGGAAGCTTGTTTGTGTTGAACGTGTACAGTCCACCACGACAAAAGGTAAAGTCTGGCTCGCTTTTCCGCAAAGTGCTAAACGTAACGGGCAGACAAGCACTGATCGTCGTGGGCGACTTTAACGCACCACACGCCGCCTGGGGTTACACCATCGAAAACGTTAAAGGCCGCAACCTGTGGAACGACGCACAGCACGAGGAGCTCACGCTAATAACTAACCCACAACACCCTACCAGAATGGGGAACAGCGTCAGTAGAGACACCACGCCGGACCTTACATTCATAAGGAATATATCCAACCCTCATTGGACCAACACTAACGTAAATCTAGGCAGCGATCACTACATTGTATGCACAATTTTACAAGCAGGTCCGCGTAAAAAGAAAGGTAGAAAAATAATGTTAACCGAGTGGGACACCTTTCGTAAGATAAGAGAGGACGATGCTACAGAGTCCATCGAAGATATACAGAAGTGGACAGACACACTCCAGCGTAGCGTGCAGAAAGCCACCAAACATGTTCCCGAAGAGGCAGGAATGGAAGAAATGGACAGCAAGCTCTTACACATGTGGGAGGCAAAACGCAGCCTGCAAGAGCGCTGGAAAGGTCAAAAGCACAACCGGCGTCTAAGAAAGAGAATCGTCGCGCTCGACAGAGACATAGAAGACTACGCAAATAGGCTGTCCCAGCAGCAGTGGGCAGGCATGTGCACTTTAATGAACAGGCAGTTCGGAATGTCCAAAACTTGGAACATTCTCCGAGGCCTCCTTGATCCAGAAGGCACGAAAACAACACAAAGACAAAACCTGCAACGAATACTACACAGCTACGCAGGTACAGAAGCAGAGCTCTTACGCGAGCTACGCCAGACATACGTAGGAGATGCCACAAAGGCGCGACTCCCAGAGTACGAAGGGAAGGATAACGTCGACCTCGACGCCTCCATAACAGAGGCAGAGATTCGATACGAACTCGGACGACTCAATCCCAAGTCCGCCCCGGGTCCCGACGGTATAACAAATAAAACACTTCGCAACTTAGATGACGAATCCGTCACTGCTCTCACAAAGTACATAAACGAATGCTGGGAGAAGGGCGCCATACCGCAGCAATGGAAGACCGCCAAAATCATATTAATACCCAAGCCGGGCAAAAAGCCGCTCATCGGAAATCTCAGGCCCATTTCATTGACGTCCTGCATTGGAAAGCTCATGGAAAAAGTAATTTTAATGCGTCTCGTCAGATACATGGACGACAACGAGCTATACCCACACACCTTGATCGGCTTTCGACCAAGACTCTCGACGCAAGACGTCATGTTGCAGCTAAAGAATCAAATCATAGACGCCGAAACGCACACCCTGGATACAAAAGCCATTCTGGGCCTTGACCTGCAGAAGGCATTTGATAACGTCACCCACGAGGCCATATTGCGCAACTTGCAAAACCTACACGTAGGTCGGAGAGTGTACGATTACATAAAAGATTTTCTCACCAACCGTAAAGCTACAATCACGGCCGGGGAAGCGGAATCCGAAGAATTCGTTCTAGGCAACAAGGGAACACCACAAGGTTCGGTGCTTTCCCCTTTCCTATTCAACGTGGCGATGCTTGGTTTACCCTCAGAGCTGGAACGCGTCGAAGGGCTTCAGCACAGTATCTATGCGGATGACATCACCCTATGGGTGACGGGCGGGAGCGACGGTCACATAGAAGAGATTTTACAACAAGCAGTAAATACGGTAGAGCGATACGTGGAGAACAATGGCCTAAAATGCTCTCCTCAAAAATCGGAGTTATTACTCTACAGACCTACAAGCAGAAGTCGCAAGCGCATTCACGAACGACACAACATCACAATCTTAGCAGGAGGTTACCCAATACCTCAGGTACAACACATAAGAGTTCTGGGACTCCGAATATCCGAGAATGGACATAACGGGGAAGCAATAAAGTTACTGGATAACAACACCCAACAAACCATTCGAATGATTCGAAGAATCGCCAACAAAAACTACGGCGTGAAAGAACACAACTTAGTGCAGCTCATCCAAGCCTTCGTCGTCAGCCGCATAGTGTATGTGACCCCATACCTCAAGTTGCAAGTGGCGGAAAAACAAAAGATAGAATGCATAATTAAAAAAGCATATAAGCAAGCCCTCGGATTACCGATCACCACGTCTAACGAAAAGTTCGAAGCGTTAGGAATGCATAACACGCTAGACGAACTTATTGAGGCTCATATGATAGCGCAATATGAACGACTCGCGCAAAGCAACACGGGAAGACACATCCTGCACAAACTTGCAATAACGTACGCTGGCCAAAGCGGCAATAAATACGATATCCCAAAAGAAACCAGAGAGCGCATCATAATACCTCCGTTACCCAGAAACATGCACCCCGAACATCACCGGGAGCGGAGGAATGCAAGAGCGAGAGCACTGCACAAGAAGTTTCAACATGACGCGGACGTGGTATATGTAGATGCAGCCGAATATACAGACGGTCGACACATGGCAATAGTCGCTTCAAATCAAGCGGGCCACCTGCTTGCTAGCGGCACCATTAAAACAGGAAATTCGGAAATCGCTGAAGAAACGGCCATAGCGCTGACGCTTGCGTCCACAAGGGCCAGCGTCGTAATCAGTGATTCTAAAACCGCGATTCATAACTTCGCTAACGGAAGGGTCTCGAAAGAGGCGTTAAGAATCTTAAATAACTTTCGCGGAGAGCGCGACGTTTATGTTGTATGGACGCCCGCCCACTCCTCCCTCCCGGGCAATGAAACCGCACACACCCTAGCTCGAGAGTTAGCGAGCCGAGCAGGGGCAGGAATGACGCGGAGCCCGCGTGCGGAGAGAGACCGCATGTTCAGTTACAACGAAATTACCAAGCACTACAGATTAGGGAGGCAGCACTACCCGCCACCACACTCCTCATTAAATAAGCAGCAGGCGACAGCGTGGCGCCTATTACAAACAAACACGTTCCCAAACCCAATCGCTTATAATCATTGTTACCCGGACCTCTACTCAGACAGATGTAAACACTGCAATCAGCGGGCGGACCTCAAACACATTATCTGGGCTTGCCCCAACATCGTGAAGGGGCCAAACATATACATGAATACGGAGCAGTGGGAGACCGCGCTGCTAAGCTCAAGCATCGAGGACCAACTACAGGTCATCAGGCAAGCCGAAGATGCCGCTAGGGCCCAAGGACTCCTAGCTGCCATTTAAGGGAGGGGAGTCAACTCCTCTAACACTTGCCGTTTCAATAAAAGTTGTTTATCTCTCTCAACCACGTCATTGTCTTATCTGACTGGGCGACCTTTCAGCACCAGCTCCAACACGTTTTGGGGACACCGGTCATTCGTTCCTCCGTCGCGAAGAAGACCTTGGGTACTCGCCAAGAACATCGCAGTGAACTGTACTCTTCCTACATCAAGCATGTCCTTGCGCTGTGCCGGTGTGTCAATTCATTCATGCTGTAATCGAACAAAGTGCGCCACATTATGAAAAGCATTTGATCTGCTGCATTTAATGCCCTTGCTGCGCAAAATCCAGCTGCCATCGCTGAATTCCTCGCGACATGACAGCATCTTGATTCGCTGGACTCTGCTCGTCTCCAACCGGACAATGGCGGCCCCCACTCCACGTCTCATGGCCATCTGCGTGACCTCATCCGGGACATTATACGCGTAGAATTGTGGTTTATGGGCTTCACACCTCTTTCACCGCGTTCAACACAGTCTTCGGGAGCTCCCTTGCGCGACATCATCAGGGAGGAACTTGCATTCCTGACCAGCCCTGCTCTCGTACAGCCACCTGTTTTTCGCCTCATATCAACCTATGCTCAAGTTGCTGCCGTGCCTCTGAGCGACGTACACGGGACATTCCCGCAACCATCCTACGCGTTGGTTGCTGCAGCTCGCCTGTCAACTACCGTTCGATGCCACCTGACCATTCTTCGGCTCACCTGTCTGCGCAATCTCCAGTGACCCTAACGTCTTCTGCTCCCTACCCTGCACTCGTACCATTTTATCAGCTATTACTGCGGCTATCGTGGCCACATATCTTGTTTCTGCTGAAAGGGCCAGCAATATGAGCGTCAGGGTTACTACGTGCGTGAACGGGATTGGTGCACTGGGGCCTCTTATCAAGGTCAACGTTATTCGTCTCCCCCGCAACGGCATCGAATGCACCGAGGAACAGCCAGAACACAAGACGCTGCTCGACTTCGCCCTTCCGCCGTTCCTCTTCCCTACTTCGGCCCGCCTCATTCTCCTCTGATAGTCATTGGGAAAACTAAATCATTCAGTTTGTGTAGCAAATACTGCCTTCAAATTTAGAAACTGAAGTTCCTCCATGAGGCCAGTGTAACATGTTCTCCGTGGAAGTGAAAGGAGTGCGTGTCAGTGCTTTAGTTGACCTGGAGCGACATTTTCTGTTACTCGTGCTTATTTGTGTGAATAACTAAAGAAATAATGACGCCCTACGATGGTCCCACGTTAGCTGCTGCCCAAAAAAACATCATTTGCCCTTCCGCATTTTGTACTCTACGTGTTTTTATCCAAGGCACCCGCCATCACGTTCAGTTTGCTGTCCTATCCCGCTGCTCTCACTAACTAATTTCAAGGTGGGTTTTCTTATCATCTGCTTCCGCGGCAATTTTTGCCGACAACGCGTCGTTCACGTGACCGACACTGACTACATGCTCGACGAGGACAATCAGAAGCCACTTCTGTTCTGTTCTGTTCTGTTTTAACTGTTTTGCTGTGGAAAGGTTGAGGTGCCTATTGTCTCGGCTACTCCACATCACAAAGTTCTGCAGCGAAAAATAAAATAGTAATACTGCACGGTACCCAAAAATTAACTATACGTAAAAGAAGAATAACACATAATAGCACACTGAAACCAGTTCAAATAACATGCCAATACACAGTTTTCTTCACGCAGTTCACACAGTCATAAACTACTTACACGCACACCTTACTAATCTAATGTCAGTATATACATGACCACATTTTACATAATACCCATCTCTGGCTGTCAGTCATAGGCGCTTGTCCAGTCCGGTCTCCACTAAAAAGGCTGTCAGAAAGATTATTGCCTCTTTCTGGAGATGCATCTCAGGCCATGGTCCTAGTAGTTTCTTTATTTTGAGGGGCCGTCTGTCCAAATTTGCTAATGTGTTCTTCAATGTTTTTCTTTCATTCGCGTATTTAACGCACTCCAAAAGAATATGGGGAACAATTTTCTTCTGCATGAACACAATGACATTCCGTTGAGTTGGATCTATGTATCTTATGCAGGAAGCTGTTTGTGTATGCTACTTACAATCTAAGTCGGTGGATTAATGTCTCTAAGTGTCGTGGGAGGTCTGTCACTATGGAAAATTTTCTGTGTGAATCAACTTCACAAAGTACTGTTTCCTTTGATTTAGGGCTCTCAAAACACATCTCCATCGAACAATGGTTAGCTGCTTGCGATATAAACTGTCGAATATGCGCCCCAGACATAGGGACTGTGCACTCCCGTCCTTCCTTCAATGCTTTCATCGCGAGACTATCAGCATCTTCATTTCCCTTTATTCCAATGTGGCTGGGTATCCATTGGAATACAATGTTGTGACCCTGCGATAAGGCATATTCCACAGTTTCTGTGATACATTGTGCTATTTCCCCATTTTTGTAAGGTGATCTCACATTTATGATTAGCTGAAGAGCAGGTTTGCTATCAGTGCATATCACCCATTTTCGTGGCTCGAGATTCTCGCAGATAAGCTTAACTGCTTCAAAGATAGCCACCAATTCTGCTGTCGTCGATGAAGGTTTGTGCGATAATTTGTACATTCTCTTTTTTGAATTTCGGGTATAAAGACCGCACAGGCTGACGCTTCTTCTTTGCATGATCCGTCTGTATATATCTTCGTTTTTTCATTATGCTTTACATGAAGCTGATGAACTGTGCCACTACTAGAGGTGCCATGTCTGCTTTCTTCTCTATGCCGTCTATTTCACAGATAACGTTGAGTAGTGGCAGCGTCCAAGGTGGTTTTTAATGTTTCCATTGTTTAAGTTCTGGTACTACTGCTTGAAATGATGATATAGTATCCTGTAGTCTCGTTGCCGTCCTTTGTGTTAGTGCAGCAGATAAAAAATGATTTTCATGTTGCGTGAAAATTCTAAATAAATTTCGAGATGTTGCTTTAGTTCGGAGTACTGCCAAAGGTGGCTCTCGAGCCTCCGCATACACTAAAGCACTGGAGGTTGACCGTGGTAAACCCAGACATACCCTCAAGCTTCTTGCCAATAACAAGTGAAGTCTCCTTTCGGTGGAGGCTGGGAGTCCGTGCAGCAGAGGCAGTGAGTAAGTTATCATGGGGAGTATCCAGGCAACATGTAGGGCTAATAACGACTCTGTAGTACCACCCCATTTGGCCCCCCGCAAAGATGCCGGAGGATTCGAATGGCCTGATTCACTTTTTGTTCCAGGGACTGGACATAGGGCGACCATGTTAGTCTCCGGTATAAAATTACTCCCAAGAATTTATGAGTTTTAACCATTTGAATAGGCTGAATTTGCAGAATAATTTCGTTATGTCACTGCGAAAGATATCGAGCTGCTGCCACTACAAGAGCAAATTGTCCCGATTTCGGCCAATGACATGTACCTTGGCGATGTATTGGTATGCCTGTCACCACTTTGTGTTTGTAAAGGCATAGTTCTTCCGTCTGGTGTCGTTCGTTTTTGCAATGAATCTGCAGTCGTCACTGCCGTAAACTCTACACCGGAGAAGATTCTACTGCCGCAGAGCGCTACTGTGACACATGTTGTTTACTACAAGCAGGTATTTCTGATGCCACTTGAGGCCATCGCATCCAAAGACCCTACCCTTGATGAGCATACTTCTTTCTCAGCCTTTGTCACCGCAATCAGCAGTGTCTTGACGACATCACAGACGCAGCAGCTGCTTTCACTGTTACAGAGACACGCAATTTTTTTATATTTGTTCGTCTACGCTGGACCGCACTACTACACTACATCACATCGAACTCAAACAGTTAGGACATCTATCGCACACCCCCGACTTTACCGCACGTCTCTAGCTGAAAGAAAAATTGTAGAAGAAAACGTTGCCGACGTGCTTAAACGGGAAGTCATCTGTCTGCCATCTAGCTCTTGGTCGTCGCCCATTGTTTCGGTCCGTAAAAAGGATGGCTCTGCTCGTTTTTGCGTGGGTTACCGGGCGCTCAATAACAACACACGCAAAGACGTGTACCCGATGCCAAGCATTGACGACGCCCTTAATTCTCTACAAGGCGCGGAATTCTTTTAAAGCCTCGACTTGCGCCCTGGGTACTGGCAAATTCTCATACAGTATTACGCTAAGGAGAAAACAGCCATCGCATCTCCCTAAGGGCTAAATCAATTCAACGTGATGTATTTCAGTTTGCGCAACTCCCTCACGACTTTTGAGCACTTGATAGACACAGTGCTGCGTGGGCTGAAATAGAAAACTTGCCATTGCAACCTGGATGAGATTGTAACTTTTTCGTGAACGTTTTCTGAGCACCTGAAACGATTGAATTACGTTCTGATGTGCCTTGCTGGTGGCGGTCTCCAAATGAACACAAAGAAATGCTCTTTCACCAGCAAATCTATCAAGGTCTGAGGACATCTCATTAGCAAATATGAAATTCAGCCTGACCCTGACAAGATTGCTGCGGTCCCCCACTTCCCTCAGATTCCTTGGCCTTGCCTATCATTTTCACTGCTTCATCCAAAACTTCGCCTCCATAGCTGCTTCATTACACCAGCTACTTGCTTCCAACGTCCCCTTTCTGTGGTCTCAATAATGTCAAACGGCATTCGACCTGTTAAAGAGTGCCCTTACGTCTGAACCAGTGCTCTGCCTCTTTGACGAAGCCGCACCGACTTCGCTTCATACCGAAGCTATTGCTTCATACCGAAGAATGCCGAAGCTAGCTTCATACCGAAGCTAGATTCATACCGAAGAATGGTATCGGAGCCATTCTTTTACAACGCGACAAGTGTTCCTTTGAGAAATTTGTTGAATACACTAGTTACGTACTCACCACTGCCGACAACAACTACACAATAACTGGCAAGAGTGTCTGGCTGTGGTTTGGTTGGTGCAGAAGTTCCGTCCTTATCTCCACGGTCGCCACTTCACAATCCTTACGGACCACCAAGCCACATGCAGGCTTTCTATAGTGAAGAACTTGTCCCGACGCTTGTGTCGGTGAATACAATGCTTGCAGGAGTACGACTTTGGCATAATTTACAAGTCTGGGAGAAAACATCAAGACACCGACGCTTTATCTCGTTGCCCGCTTCCTACTCCCCATATCAGCGTTGGCGAATGCTCGACCACCACATCTACCGCAGTTCCTTCGCTCGTCTCAATAGGGCAACCCTTCTCGTACAATGAGCGAACATTTAACTCCCGCCATTGGTCAAATCCATTCAGAAAACGCATTATGGACCACCTGTGGGGAGGTTCTCAACCACCTAACGCGCGACTTTGTCGTAAACCTCTGCAATATAGGCTCGACAACGGGGATCTTTCCCGCCAAATTTACCATTCTGATGGTTAGCGCTGGGTTCCTGTGCTTCAACGCTCTCTTAGAATTCAGGCGCTCGAAGCCTTCCACGATGACTTGACTGCTGGCCATCTTGGTTTTCAAAAAAACTCTTGACCGCATTCGATGCTAGTATTACTAGCTTGGCCTTTCTTCAAGCGTAGCGAGGCACATCGATGCCTGTTCCCCATGCCAGCATTGTAAACTACCGACATCTGCACCTGCTGGACCTCTACAGCCTCTTCTTTGCCCTTAAATGTGATTCGAGGTTGTAGTTGTCAACCTTTACGGGCTTCTCCCCGTCACATCTATGGCCAAAGGATGGATAGTGACGGCCACTGACCACCTGACACGCTACGCTGAGACATCCTGTGTCATTGCAGGCTAACTTG